CTACAATAAAGCCATTCTCACTCTTACACATTCACACTCCCCCCCCCCGAATTTCCCCAAATTACATGACAAACACAGCAGTGAATTTATTCTTCTTCTGCTGCTGCTGCTGCAGCTGCTGCTGCTCCTCCTCCTCCTCCTCAACATCCTTATGAGGCAGGTGAGGCTGAGAGTATGCAGCTGGGCCAAGATCACCCAGCGAGCTTCCATGGCAGAGGGGGGGGGGGTTCAAATCGGGGCCTCCCGGATCCTAGTCCAACACTGCAACTGCTTCTCCAATCCAGTGGTTCTAGACAATGCATGTTACTAATACCCAAGTTTAGTCCTTCATAGGAAAGGTTTGAGTCCAGTGGCACCTTTAAGACCAACAGAGTTTAATTCTGGGTATAAGCTTTTGTGTGCACGCACACTTCTTTACAAAAGCTTATACCCAGAATTCAACTTTGTTGGTCTTAAAGGTGCCACTAGACTCAAACTTTGTTCTATTGCTTCAGACCAACACAGCTAGCCCACCGGAATCATCCTTCATAGGACAATGGCCTCATCAGAAATTCCTTTTCCTGTTCGTGCTTTCCAACATTTTCTGCATTTCCCTACTTCTGTCTTTCGTTCCATCTTTCACTTCTTTGATTTCTTGCCAGGTGACCATAGGCTCCTAACTCTCCCTAACAACCAGGGTCAGTTTCTGTTTTGTGGTACCCTTCCCTGACTAAATCACCATTGCTGAATCACCATTTTAACTGTTATTCTTTTTAGCATGCAGTAATAACCTTTTTCTTTTTGTAATTAACTTAAATAATCAAGCTTGTTGATCATGAAAGTTTTGTTATTCTTTCAGTACAGAAAATACTTTGAAAATCCTCATGAAGTTCTGCTATATAGATGTGGAGAGTTATACCTTTCTAAGTCCATTGAAGTCAATAGGCTTAAAAGGGTTCAACTCTGGTTAGGACTGCACTGTAAGTTGTGTAAATAACATGGTCTCTTGGAGAAGAGAGGAAGTGTGCATGATGGACTTACACATGTGCTATCTGACTCTCTCCAGATTTCCTTCTTGCTCGGAAGCTTTCACTGTCTTGGATTGGTCTAAATTGCTGTCCCCAGGTCAGCTTTTTTATCATGACCAGGTATGTTTATGAGGGGAGACGATTTCCTCTCCCAAAGAAGATCTGGGCAAACTCTAGTACCCATAAGACAGCGCTTTCATACACCTTTCCAACTTGACTTGAGTGGGTGCAGAGAATGTTATCCTCTTCTTGGAGAGGTGTGGAAAGATGTCATTTGAGGCCATTTCCATCTGATTATGCCATTTACAGTGCAGTCCTGAGGACCCTTTCCCGGGAGTACATCCAACTGAGTTAGGGATCTTATTTGCCTGTTTATGGCAGGAGACCTGCAGGTAGTTGTGACCCTTGCCTGCCGATGCTCATCTGATTAGCAAGCAAGAATTGGGGTAAAAAGTGGTGTGGGGCAATTGTCTTCGGGAGAAAAACTAAAGAGAAAAATCTTGTCTGCTTACAGGAGATTGTGATTATAGAGATCCTGGTGATATGTCACTTCCAAGAGGCTCTAGGAATCGCTAGCACCTCTGTGATCAGAACTTCCTGTAGGTAGTTGTTGCCCTATTTGTCATTTTAATCTTTCTCCTTGAATGCTGCCTCCCTTAGCCTTCCCACCAGTTGTCTGTCAGGCACTGAGTAGAGCTGAGTAGGATTCTGAATAGACCTGTTAAAGATTGCTCTCATAATGAGAGATAGCTGGACCCAGTGAGGATGCCTATAGGTTAAGAGTCCTTATCAGAGAAGTCAAAGGAGGAATCTTCCATGTCAGCCCCAAATGTGAGAGGTGGAATGTGGGCCTCTGCTATTCACAGGCAAGGGCAATCTTGGAGCAAATGGAAAGAAAGGGGGTGTTTGTCCATTATACCTCGTCTGGTGCTAAGCAGGAGAAAAACACCTGTGAGGTCATGTCATCTTTTTGGCATGCGCTGCATGTTGCAAAACTGTAATTGAGTAGTGGCCCACTGCCAAGGTATAAAAATAATTGAGATGGAGCTGTGGTTCTCGTCTCCCCACGGTGCACGCTGAGTTTATAGTTGTACTAATCAAATGTGGACCATCCTGTGCTTGCCTGTGCGCTTCTCAGTGGCTGCTTGTTGCTGGGAAGTTTGGATTTCAAGGGCTATAGGACATGTTTCTGGGGAGATCTGTGATCGTATCTCCCAGTAATCCCAGAGGAGTAACTGTGTCCCAGAGGAGTAGCTGTGTTCATCTGCTGTGGCAAGAATATGCTTGAATTTGCCTCGTACGGAGGCAGACCCTTGGTCCATCAAGGTCAGTATTGTTTGCTGTGACTGGCAGCACCTCTCCAAGGTCAAAGCTGGAGGTCTTTCACATCACCTATACCTGGAGAGGCCGGGGTGTGAATCTGGGACCTTCTGTATATAGAGCAAACACTCTGTCACTGAGCCACAACTCTGCAATTTCTGGTTAAGACATCTCTCATTTGTTCACTCGCTATCCAACTGCTTTCAATAACAGTTCTGGCTGGTTTTTTTCTTTTGGTGGTTGTTCTGACCCCATCTTCAGCTATAATGCTTGTCCTTGACAAGGATGACGTGGTGATTAGTCTGATCTTGAGCCATACACAAACATCTGCGCCTCTTTCACTATCTCCTTCTTTCCCAGGTCCTTGGAATTCCTCCAAAATACCTGTGGGCGTTGTATTTTCATTGATGTGAATTACACCCCTATTTCTTTTATTTATTTTTTCAACCCACCACTCTCCACCATGGGAACCCAAAGGGAGTTACAGTCATTCTCCTCCCTTCCATCACAACAACGCTGTGAAGTAGGTTAGGCTCAAGGTCACCCAGTGAGCTTCTCTGGCAGAGTGGAGATTTGAATCTGGGTCTCCCAGTTCCTGCTCTGACACACTACGCCCTACTGGCTCTTTTACATGTTTTTTTCAGGCTGTGTGGAACCACTGGTCTGGCTACGGTGGCTTGTTGGGCTCCTTCCTCTTTCCCCCCACCCCTCTCTTTCTCACATGCTTTATTTTGGCTTGGTCCAATTTTGGAGGGTTCCTCCACCCTCCTCCTCCACCACTTTCTGGGGGAAAACGGAATGTGTAGGGAGAACAGCCAGTAGGCATGTGGCCTCTGTTCGCAGCTGCTTTGTCCCAATAGCCTTTTGCAAGGCTCTTTTTGTAGAAAAAGCCCAGAAGGAACTCATTAGCATAATAGGCCACACCCCTGACAACACAGCTCATTAGCACATTAGGCCACACCCCCATGCTACCAGAAGTGTGGTTATCCAGCCACACCCACCTTTTGCTTGTTATTCTGTTTACCTTGTTTGTTGTCCAAACCCAGGGCTTTTTTGTAGCAAGAACTCCTTTGCATGTTAGGCCATACACCCCTAATTTAGCCAATCCTAATGAGTTTCTGCTGTTGGGTGTGGCCTATTATGCTAATGAGTTCCTGCTGGGTGTGGCCAACTTGGGAGCCAGCCGGAACTCCATTCCTGTGCGTTCCTGCCCAAAAATAGCCCTGGGCCCTTTTGACTTTGGTTTGTTTCCAGCCGTAGGATGAAAATATTTGTGTTGCAATGCTGAATTAGATCCTCTGTAAAGACACTGAAATTTAACCAAGGAAGTAGAAATCCCTGGTTTGCAAAGTTCACACTCTAGAGTTTGTCCTGTTCAGAATCTCAAGTAGGGTTACTGGCTCTGGGTTAGAAAATACCTGGAGATTTGAGGGGTGGAGCCTGAAGAGGGTGGAGTTTGGGGCATAATGTTGTAGGGTCCAACTTCCCAAGCAGCCATTTTCTCCAGGTGAACTGATCTCTGTCACCTGGAGATCAGTTGTAATAGCAAGAGGTCCCCAGCCACCGCCTGGAGGTTGTCAACCCTAATCTAAAGGCTTGCTTTGAATCTTGGCAAAATGGTGACAGTTGACACCAGAACTCTTGTGGTGCTTCCTTGGGGAAAGGAATCGACAAGGGTCCAAGAGACTTTTATTTGCTTATTTGTGAGGGGTTTTCTGTGTTGCTTGTTGCCTCAAAGGAACCCCAACTGGTTTACAGAAATGTTCAAAACAAATCAGATTAAACAGTAGAATTTAATCACATGCTGGGTAGTTCCTTGTTTGCTGGTTGGGCTACTGTAGGCCCCAAGCCCTGAGCCAAGAGCCCTTTGCTTCATGCCTCTGATCACATTCTGACTGAACTACCTGCAGGCAGAGGAGAAACCAAAGCCTGCCCAGATGTAACTCACTGCTGCTAGTAAGCAGTTCTTTATTTCCGCCCCTCCTAGTCCTTGTGTGTGTTGCCAGCAACCTCCTCCTTTCCCCCCATGTCTTCTGGCAGTCTCAGAGGGCTTAGGAAGGGAAGGGAGTGTTGTTTCGATTGCATTTGGGTATATGGAAGAGAAATAGCTGGGGTGACCCTTCTTGTGTTTTTCAAGTTACTGTAAAAGTGAGAGCTTGAGGGAAGGGAATGCACTTTGCCTTGGTGGGGCTGGCAAGTGCATTTGGGAGTATCAGACTTCTCTCTGCTATCTGGGCTAGGTGGGGCATGAATGCTGGACTGGTAATAGGAGTTTAGTTGGAGGGCTAGAAGAGGAACTGAAGTTAGGATCTCATCACTTTGGACATTGGAAACAACTGCCAGGATGTAGTCTTCCTAGGAATTTATGACCCAGCAGTCGAGTTTCAAGATCTTCACTGCTTGTTGGTCTGTTTCTGGGTGCAGCACAAAGTTCTGGTTTTGACCTATTCATAGCCTTCGGCTGTGGTGTCAGAAAGCCTGGATGAACCTGCCCTTTACTTAAGGCATTGCTGCCCTCGCCTTCAGAGTTGAGGTGGGTGGTCACCACGGTTATCTCCTTTTCTGTGGTGATACTGCAGCTGTATGATACCCTTTTTGGTAACCTTCATCAGGTGCCTACATGATTCCAAGATTTATGTGTGTACAGATGAACATGTTTGTTTCTCATCCCAGGCTCAGCGTTGGCACAATGAAGATTACGAACGGCCCATTGACCAGGAAGGCTCTGGAGACGACGACTCTTTTGAAGATGAAGAAATTGAGGAAACGGATGAGATCTACTCAGGCTCTGGCTCAGGATGTGAGTATGATGAAGTCTGAAAAATTCTGAATTAGATGGGTAATTGCCACGGTGAATTAGGATGGACAGCAGACAACCTCTTTGAGTCCATGGTCTTCAGGCCATGGTTTTTGAGACCCTCAGGTGGTCTGAAAAGCTCCATCTGCTGGATTGCAGGCCCCTAGAGAGCCACCACTTTTTTGTTATTGTTGTTTGGAAGGACTCCCCGATCGTGTGCATGTTTAGAGGACGAGGGTACCACATCCTCTGCTATACTTTGCACAGCCTCTGAGAGGAGCAGCAGAGTAACGTGAAGTCACTCTGTGTGGAGAGGATTCCTTTGTAGGACTCCTCCTCTTCCTTTCCTGAGACTTCCTGTCACATGATTACAAGTGGTGGGTTGCAAGCGGCTGACTTGGGGTACTTCCACAGAGTTCTGGGTTTTCCATTTTCCATTTTATCTTCAAATGTGGAATGATATGGTATAGCCCGATTTCATCAGATCTTGGAAGCTAAGCAGGGTCGATACTTGGATGGGAGACTGAAAAGGAAGACTCTGCAGACTAAGGCCATGACAAACCCCCTCTGTTTCTCACTTGCCTTGAAAGCCCCTTGATGAGGTCACCGTAAGTCGGTTGCGAGTTGATGGCACATACATACATATTTTATGTTTGCAGCAACTGAGAGATGTAGCTAAGGCTGTTATGGTCCAAGAGCAGCATACTTCCACAGCAGATTTGAACCTGGGTCTCTCAGATCCTAGTCCCAGCAGTCTAACCACTACACCATGCAAGTTCTGGTTTGTTCTTAAGCATTTATAGCGAGCATATAATAACCCATTTGTCTAACTGTGTCTTGGGTGTCCCCAGAGTGAGCATTCTTCCTTGGAGTCTATATGTGGACACCCTCCAACCCAGACACCCTCCCTTGTAGCACCGACAGTGCCTTTGCCAGCCGGCTGGCACACCCCTACCTCTCCATACTGTACTCACTGTTACAGTTCTTCATGTTATTTTAAGTTTTGCAGCAGTCATATGGGCATGATGTGACTCCCAAGAGGCAGCCGGGCTCTGCAGAGCTTTCATGGTATCCAAGCAAATTATTCTTGAGTAGTGGAAAGCAGCTATGCCACATGCCTGATTGGTTAGGTAACCTTTGCTGTTTGCTAAGCAATGGGGTGGTCTGTAAGAAACAAAATCAGATGTCTATATGCCATATATTTATCTTGAGCTTTCTCCAAGGAGCTCAGGGCGACCATTAGGGTTGCTAACCTCCAGGTGTTGTCTGGAGACCTCCAGGGCTTACAACTGATCCCCAGGCGACAGAGATCAGTTCACCTGGAGAAAAGGGCTGCTCTGGAAGGTGGGCTCTCTGGCATTATACCCCACTGAAGTCCCTCCCCTCCCTAAATCCCACCCTCCTCAGGCTCCACCCCCCCATATCTCCAGGTATTTCTGTGCCTGATGCTGGCAACTCTAGTGACCATACACGTTTCCCCTTTCCTCTGTTTTATCATTACAACAACCCTGCAAGGTAGGTTAGGCACAGAAAGATTAGTGTAAGATCTCCCAGTGAGCTTTGTTGGCAGAGTGGGGATTTGAACCCAAGTCCTCCCATTTTGATCTAGCACTGGAGCCATTATATGACATTGGCTGTGGATGTGGTGCCTAATTTGCCTAAATGGTTTTATGGAGACTGTGATTGGATTTTTGTTCATTTTACCCTGACATGTATTCGTTCTTTCTCTTTCTTTGTCTGGTTTCTATGAGATCATTGCCTATTGTGGGATGTGCTGCTCATTTAGCGAACACTGCACAACCAATCAGAATTTACCACATGCTGCATCACTGAAGGCAACTTAAGCTGATTTAGTGATCCGTCAGTGCTTCCTGGGTTGATTGCCAGGTGATCCTAGCTAATCAGGGATCACATTCTGATGTCACTAAATTGCATACAAAGCCCTTTTAGGAGTGGCGCTTCTTAAACAGGTGAACACTTGTGTCCACTTTTACAGTGAAAGAAAGTAAAACAAAGATTACTTCTCGTATGCTTCTCTTTGGAATTTAAACTGGAGCAGTGGCTTTTTGGTTCTTTTTGATGGTGAGATTTGGAGCATCCACATGACATTGCTCCATAATTGTCCACTTTATGTGTTTTCTAGTGGTCTGGTCCACTTTCTCCCAATGCTGGTTTGATACATACTTTTGGGAAAGATTGTAGTCAAAGCTTGTTTGTACACTTGTGTGATGGGGAAGGCGTGAATTTTTGCAACCCCTCAGCTGCCATTTTCCCCAACACCACCAGGGGCAATTGGCATATTGCTGTAATTAGGCTGCAACAGTATGTCAATTGCAGATTGCAGGCTAAAGAGGTATGCCAATTACAGATTTTAAAAGCCTGAAAAAGCCCTGGGGTGGTTTGGGGGTGGGGGGAGGAGAAGGCAGTCGTGGGCATGTGACCGAATGTTCAAACTATGGGGGAAATCACTACGTGGACACTCCTTTGCCACTGTGAAATCCTTCGCAGTCTCAGCAACAAGGAGAACCCCACAAATCATCATTGCTGAATGGGAAACATCTGAAACCAAGGATGTGCTTCTTGTTTGCACAAGAGGTTGCACATCTGCTTAAGAAGAAGCATAAGACCTTGCCTATTATAGCACAACGTGAATTCTTGCGCAAGCAAACAGTGCTAGTGGCTATTTTCCTTCTCACAGTTGCGTGTGCATTCAACCCCCGCCCACCCCCACCAAGCATATAGTTGTGCTTTGTGAATTTAAAACACATCATTGAGCCACAGGGATTCTGCTGGAAAACAAGCTGCCAAAGCTCAAGTCAGCCTACTGCTGATACAAATCTTCTGTTCTCTGCAAGAGGAAAATTTCAATCTGTGATGTTGGGACCGAGGAAGTACTAGACTGTACAGCCCACTGTATGTTTCTCTGTGCAGACTCTGAAACTGTACTGAACAGATTTCTGCTCCAGCTGTTTAAAAGCTGGTCAAACAAGTAGCAAATGGAATTTCTTTTGACCAGCAAGGACAAAGAGGTCATCTAAAATGTGGCTCTTTTTTGCAATGGCATCTGTGAAACCATGTCCAAATTATCTAGCCATGCATCCTGCAGGTCACAACTTGGGTGTTAGTCAGTGATCATTGTGCGCATGGTTTGAAACATTGTTATGCTTATTATGGTACAGTAAAGTTATTGATGGGGGTGTGGAATGGTATAGCATAGCCCAGTCTCATCAGATCTCGGAATCTAAGCAGGGTCACCACTTGGATGGGAGACCACCAAGAAAGACATTGCGGAGGAAGGCGATGGCAAACCACCTCTGCTTCTCACTTGCCTTGAAAGCCCCTTGCTGGGTCACCATTAGTCTGCTGTAACTTGACAGAACTTCACTCACACACCCAGTATTGATTATTAAAGCCTTTTAAATGCTGGGAAAGATCTTGGCCTAAGAATTTGAAGAGCTGTATCCAGTTTGGGTAAACAGTACAGGACAAGATGGGCCCAGCCATCATCTTAGATAACTTGCAAAGTAGAATTAAAAATTCCAGGATGATCGGTTGCTCAGCAGCTGTTAACCATGATGGTTAAATGGAGTCTCCACGCTTAGAGGCAGTCTATCTCCAAATGGCAGATAACGTTGGTGGTGGAAAGTGCCACCAAATCCCAGCTGACTTACGACAACCCTGTAGGGTTTTAAAGGCAAGAGACGTTCAGGGGTGGTTTGCCACTGCTTGCCTCTGCATAGCAACCCTGGACTTCCTTTTTTTTTTTTAATCCCCTGAAGACAGGGTAGCTTTATTTATTTTTTGTTACACCTACAAAACTAACAGAAAATAGAAATGGGAGGGGGGGGGAAATAAAAAACCCTGGGGTACAAGACAGCAAATATAAAAAAGCCCACACTATGACTAAAAACCCAAGAAAGGAAGGTCATTAACAGATAGTATTCAGTTAGTCATAAAAATAATAACTTTTCGTTTAAGTCAATGAATTCAAGAGTTAGTGAGTCCGTTTTAGTAATTATCTATTTTCTTTTTTTAATGTGCACAAAGTCTCTTTCATCTTCTTCTTCAGTTGCGGGTCTTTAACTTCCAAAGAGTTACTTGGGTCCCCTTAGCCGCAAATCATATGCATCTCTGGCCGTGGCACCTTCTGCTCCTCCTGGGTCTCCGTCCATCTCTTCCAGAGTGTCTGCTTGGCCCCCTCCGTCTGGCTGTTCTTCCCTTTTTCCATGAAACTGCTTCAACCATTCTTCCGCTTTAAAAACCGAGTCAATTTTCTCCCTTTTATCTTTATATTTAAACACCACACCCTCGGGGAAATTCCAGGAATACGGAATCTGGTTGATCTGGAGGATTGAAACAAGTTCCTTGTAGGCTTTTCTTTTCTGTCGAATCTCAAATGGGGTGTCCTTTAGGACCCTGATAGTTGTTGCTCCCAGCTGCAGGGG